GTTTTATTGTGTCCGTCGATGTTTTGTTTGAGGTTCCCCATACAACTGTAGCTGATTTTTATGGTATTGCGGTATATATATATATATTGGCCTATGTTTGTTTGGGGGGATGGCGTGTATGTGTTTGTGTGGGTGCTGGTGACGTAGGTCTGGGGCCAAATTGAAGACATTATTAGCGCAAAGGATGAGAATGTGACAACGGATGATTAAAAGGATTATAATCATCTACATATTACACTGTACTTATGTTCTAATACAAAGGCAATACGTTAAACGTGATTAACATCGATAAGAACGACCATGGGTTGGATATTTATGGTGAAAAAAACCCCCAAAAAAGCATAGCCTCCACTCACTTCAAGTCAAATGGAAATCAGGGATTGGACAATAGTAGTTTATCTAGGCCTATAGAAAATTTTTATAGGTTTCGCTGATTTTAATCTAGCTTGCAAATAAAATGGGAAGCTGAAGTCGTAGGCTAAATGCTAGGTCCATAAGTGCGATAAATTATGGTAGTCGGTACCCGACGTTATACTGTATAAACTTATTTTTATACCTCATGTACAAACTTTTATACCGCGTCGCTTGGGTACCGTCGCTTCGCTTGTTAAAATATATTGATTCGTTTGAGGGCGTAGTTTACTTTATAAAGAAGGACACATTTATTTTTTTTAAGACTCGCATGTATTTATGGTTTTGTTTTTCAGTTTTTCTGAGATTTGCATGTTTTAAAATACTGTACATCGTAATATTTATGTATTTATACTGTATCAAAATGCATTGTGATATTGGTAATTATTAGCGAACATATCATTTATCTAATAAGTTTTGTAGAGATGCAAGATGGCATATCGTTATTTTAGCCTCGTCACGTCACTTTTCGAGGTGACAAGCAGCTAAAATCTGGTTATAAAACTTGCTTTTTTTCCTTAAATCCCACTTTTTGTATCATGATATGATCTTTCCAATATATAAAGGACCTACAGTTTGAGTTTCATTGAGATAGGAGCTTAAACCATGGCTAAGGTGATTTTTAACTGGACTAATAGTGACTCACTCAAATATGTGCTACTCTTGAATAAGTGCCACACACCATACCAGCTTTTAATCGATAAGCACCGCTCCCAAATAATCAACGCAATAGATATATTCTATTACAATTGCAAAATGCAAAAAAAAAAAATAATATTTTTGTTTCCAGTACAATGAAAACAATAAGAAGACGGACAAGCCAAACCTTGACAGTTTTTCCCGGAATATCCATCTGCACATGGTCCATCTGGACATCCAATACTTGCATCGCATGTCACACCATTTGCACAATGGCATTCCTCGCTGCATGTTGACCCATATTTCCCCATTCCATCACATGCTATAAAACCAATAACAGTTCCTGATTGTATAACTCATTAATTATGTGATATCCTTGCCATCATTATATTTCACACTAATGAAAAAATGGTGGAGGATAATTATTCAGTTATTTAACATGACTGTAAATGCACATGGAGAAGGGTAAGGCCCCTGTGTGATATTCTTTTCATTAATTTTTACTTTGAATTTAATAGTTGGGGCAAATATATGTAGATTGACTGGGATCCTTTTAGAATTTTACCCCACCTTAGAGGGGCTATATTTGCCACCATTGGTAGGGGTGGGGTTTAGGGTGAAAATTTTTCATATTTTAGAGTTGATGTATCAAACAGTTGTATTTCTTTGCACAGCATCAAAATACCCAGTTCGTGTCAAGGTTTATGCCTTTAAGCCAAGGGTTCCAAGTTGAAAGAAGTCACTTCCAGGAGATTTGTTTAAATGAGCACTGATTTTTGAGAGACAATTGAGAATATAATATTAAAAACATGCAAATATTATGAAATTGGAAGAGATGGGTTTGCAGGAGGAAACGCGTACTTGCGAGAGGCTTTTATAATTTCAGGTAGATTTGGGACCCCTGCTTTAAGCAGACAAACTGCAAATATTTTCCCAAATACAGGTAGTATTAGCAGCCTTGCCTTGCATTGTTTAGGTGGCAGATAGGATATATCCTGTAACTATTTACTAAGGTAATAGTAAAGTGATTAAAATATTAGTAGGTTACTGTAAGAGTAATGATGAAATTGCTTTCTAATCAATCTATTTTACCAATTTAAAATTATTCCTATTCATATAAAAATACCACAGAAATTAATAGAGGATATTCAACAACAAAAAACAGCCGGTGATGAGCCAACTCTATTTACAAAAGGACAAAAATAATCAAAAAGCCACAATCAAAATGAAAGACCAAAACTAAAAAAAAAACCAAAAAACACAAAAGACAACATGAATAAAAAAAAATATGACTCCAGGTTATGAAAAAACACATAATTTAGACATTTAGTAAATACTGGAAGGTATGCCTGTATTGCTAATAATTAATTTATTTAATTTTGCTTACTTTGTTTGCAGTTAAGACTACCATAGCCAGCCATACAAGAACATCCTAACGGATCTGGAACACATGCCAAATTACCACGACAACCAGGATTGTTAGTGCTACAAACAATTAAGCACTTTCTTCCCCAGTTGTTGTTTCCACATCCTGTTAATAAACAGTAAGAAATAAATAGGTTCAGCCATTCATAACTATTGAAAAATATAATAAATATTTTATAATACATTAAGAATAATAGTAAGATTGACAATTTTTTTTTTTGCAAATACAGTAAAACCCCTATTATGGGGACACCTTTGGGACCAAACAAAGTGTTCCCTTTGGATTTAGACAGGGTCACTCGTGTGTGACCCAGTTGCTTCTTGTTCTTGAAGATTGGTCTTGCTCTCTATGTTGAATAAATAAATAAATAAGTTAGAATTGCCAATTAAATGATACTGTATTAATCACTATTGGTTGAAAGCCTACAGATGTCTCATTGGCATATGCAAAAAATGGGGGCCCTGAGCATGGTGGGCCCTGAGGATGTGCGATCCGACCCCCTCCTTACCTTCTCCCATCAGCTTTTCAACATGCCACCACTAGTATGGCTCTTCTCCATCCTCTTATAAATATAGTTAATAGACAATATTCAAGAAAATTGATAAATGTACAGTAAATATAAATTGTTAAAACAATATTAATCTTATCGATTCCTCCTCCTGAATTAATCCTTAATAATTCATTAGAGAAAATAGAAAACTCGGTGCATGCAACTAAAATCAAAATAGGTAAATATAATATTTGTTGGTATCCTAAAACATTTGTTTTACCAAAACTACAGTCAGTTGTATTGAATCCTGGAGGACAAATACATAATCCGGTGACATCATCACACACTCCCCCATTGTAGCACGTAGGACACAAGTTCTGACAGTTTGGTCCCCAACGAGCAGCTGAGCAATCTGTTGACAAAAATTACATCAATGATGATTAAAGTCTAGTCAAATACACTGATATGAACCAAATTCATCCCTCTATGGTCCATCAAAATGCAAACATCATCAGGCTGTGTCGTACGACGCTGTCTGAGTTGGCCTTAATATGACATCCTCATCATCATCATGCAAATACAGTATGGCACATTGCACAAAGTTGGCAGCCTCACATGTAAATACTACATGGGTGATTGGAATTACCATCCTAGGTAATACAAAACCTGAGCATTGTGGTTAGGTTATGTCAAAAAATAAAGTTAACACACAGTTTCAGCAATGCTGGCAATATTATTTAATCAGACATTATGTTACAATTTACAGTATATATGTATTAAAAATGTTTTGAGCTAACTGCAATGTATTATTATTATTATTACTGTATTATGGTACTGAGAAATTGTTAGCTGGGATTAACATATTATCTCTGATTGAAATATATTCTCATTTAATAAATATTTAAAAGATTTTCTCTTATCCTTTTTGAAATTTTATGAGTTCACAAGCACTAATTTTCAAAGGGGTCCTAGTTACAACCACTTAATGTAGAAAACAACGGCTAATGCAGAAACAACCGTTAATGTAAAATAATCCACTGCTTATGTAGTAAAACGCTAATGTAGAAACACTAACAGAAGAAATCAACATCAGCTAATATAGAACGCTCAACAGCTAATGTAGTAACGAAAATTGCCTCACCGCTAATGTTACTACTACCACCCGCAAATGTAGAATTTTTTAATATTACAATATCATTAACTACAAAAAATGATTTTATGTTGCCTGCACATTTCCTGAACTTGCAAGGAATAAAAAATTGTCACCTGTAATATCGGGTGCTTTACTGGTCAGTCAGTTAGTCCTTATTACATTTAACAGCTATTTTTATAATTTCTGTTATTATTATATCGTTTTTAAATAAGCAGGTAGGCAATCGGTCGGCCAGTTACTCTAGCTACAGCATTAATATAGGCGCTGGTTCCAGCAGCTCCTCACCCATGGATCGGTTGGTAGAACCAAGTCTTCTCAGATAAGGACGTAAAATAGAGGTCCAGTGTATACATCTGACTTGTGTGCACTTTAAAGAACTCAATGCATCTTTCGAAAGGGTCATTGTGGAATGATGTGAACATGTTCGATTATTATTTAGCTGTATTCATGTACTTCAGCTGTTTGGAACACATCATAAATTGCATTCCCACCTCCTAAATCGTGCTGAAAGCATGAGCATGAAAAGAAACAGAGCATTTACAGAGCTAACATGTACCACAATGACATCTTCGTCTGCCCTAAGAATACAAAATATGCACAATAAAAAATTTTGAAAAATTTACCGACTTAATACATTATTGATAAACTGCCTGCAAATAAATCAATAATGCACTTGTCAATTGTAGTTCTCCCCACCCCACCCCTGGGCCTAGCGGGGATGTAATTTACGAAACGGTTGTGCATGTGAATGTCCCGGCCACATCCCAGCAATGCGGAACATCATTTAATGTACATCCCCGGAGTCCCCACTACCTACTGCCGGGAAATATTTCGTAATCCTGGTAAAATGCCCTGCTAATAAATGATTGGATGATGGCCTACTGTAGCAAACATACAGAGTGAGACAAAAACTATTTGAAGGTCTAGCCCATCGGTCTGGCCTATGTCTGCTAATCGGAGAAGCATGTGAGAGAGGCAAGGAGATGAGCTTGCTTGATGGAAGCACTACACATGCATATCACTAGGCAGATTCCCATGGAAATTTGGAAAAATGCATATTGATTGATCATAAAGATAGAAAATTGATAGATTGATTTAACTGATTGATAGAATTTATTCAGGATCAAAACAGAAATTTAATAGTAGTTTAGTAGTAGAGAAAGATTTCCTTGCCTTGGTGTATTTTTTTACGCAAGCTAGGTCAAATACACGGTTCACAAATTTTCACGCAACACACTCACGTGTCACCTCGGTCCAAGTCGTTGTGTAGTGGAGGTTCAAATTTTATTATATAATTTATACTGTGATCTATAAAAAAATAAAACCATGATGGTAGGCCTAGTTAGAGTACCGGTAGGCAATTTTTTAATTACCAAAACCAACCACACAGCAATTGCTGAATGCCTAGGCCTAGTGAGGCAAATTGCTAGGAAAGAAGACCAGGCAATTTGACAGCACTCATCCGAAATCCTGGCTACTCTAACGTGTAAAATTCCTGGCCCTTTCGATGCGGTTACATATACGGGTGAATTTTAGATACGTCCCAGCACTACGGGACACAACTATGTGTATGTCCCGAGCTACAACTGACAAGTGCATAAGACCTACAAAAATCGGCGGTAAGTAACATGTTAAATGTTGAATGGGACCGATCGACAGACAGAACAACTGGCCGATGAACTCACTGCATACCTACAATATTTGAAATGATAACAAAAATTAGAAATAGCTATTATGTATTGAGGACCCGACCGACCAATAAAGCACTCGATATTACAGGTAGCAATTTTGTTTATCCCTCACAGGTTTAGGAAATGTGCAGGCAACATAATATCATGTTTTAATGATATTGATAATGAAATAATTATAAATTTGCTGGCGCTGTTACAGTAGGTACATAGCGGTAGGCAAATTATGTTACTACTGTACATTAAATGTTGACTGTTTTACATTAGATGTTGACTGTTGTACATTAGCTGCTGACTGTTGTACATTAGATGTTGACTGTTGTACATTAGCTGTTGACTATTGTACATTAGCTGTTGACTGTTTTACATTAGCTGTTGACTGTTGTACATTAGCTGGTGACTGTTGTACATTAGCTGGTGACTGTTGTACATTAGCTGTTGACTGTTGTACATTAGCTGTTGACTGTTGTACATTAGCTGTTGACTTGTACATTAGATGAATTGACTGTTGTACATTAGCTGTTGACTGTTGTACATTAGCTGATGTTGATTTTCTTATTACTACTGTACATAAGCTGTTTAGTGTTTCTACATTAAACAGGGGTTTTTTCTGTAAGTGGTGGATTTGGTGGTTATAGCAGAGTGTACAATATTTCAAACATTGTATTACTGTTGGAGATCAAGTAAATGAAGTGTCCTTATTAAACTTATTGATATATTTACAATACCTCGTACAATGAGCCTCATTATAGCATGTTTTACTTCATTTCTTCTGTCATTTAAATAACATTCATAGATTCCAGCATCAGCCTTTGTAACATCCTCTATTGTAACGTTAACCTTTCCCGACCAACTCTCCATTATCATTCCATTCAGCCTCCATCGTAAATCCATCACAGTACCATTGATCAAATTCATGTTTATTGTTACTGTTTCTCCAAAGCTTACTGTTTGAGTTTGTTTTTCAGGTTTTATATATGCTGTAAAAAATATGCAAACATAGAGAAAGAAAATAAAAGGAGTAACAACAGAGCCGCGGAGCAGCAGTGCTCTAGCATAGGGCCATTAAATTATACCTTGTTAAGATAACGGCCTTTGATGGATATCCTATTTACCGCTGCTGACTTCGGTCTGATTAAGTAACACCCCTCATTTAGAAACAAGCCAAGCGTAACACTGGTGACAAGAATGCAAACTCAGGCTGCGCAGAAGTCACTGACATTTACCATCTAGTAATAAGACATGTGCAGTAATGCAGTTTAAGATACGTCTTTATAATTATCATCAATTTCATCAAGGGATTATCGTATTATTTAGTAAGTCGAATTTCATCACTTTCTACTACTACAAAACAGATAAATCTACGTGCAATTTAAACCATAAAACATATCGAAACTTATTCTGTTTTCATCTTTTGTTGCGCGCAAGTAAATTATGATATTAAAGTTTGCTCATGAATATTCAATTTATTACCGATTCACGGTCTTTTTTTACGAGTGTTTTAATTTTTTCCTTGTATAAGTCATTTATAAAATATGTTGTAGTCTATCTTATGACCTTACTATCATGATATTATTTAGGCACACTAGATTTTGAACTGCTTAGTCGATTAGAATTATTATATTTAATAAATAAGTATTATTATTACAATATTATTAAAGTATTATTACATAAAATACCGATAATTACGGCACGTTTGACTGTTTGTTATATTTTTTTAAAGTACATTTTAGCTTTTGTCTTTATCCCACTGCAATTTAATGTTATAATTTATTTTTTAATATAATAAATAATCAAAATATGGTAATTATATAGATCGTTAGGTACTTACGTTTATAGATGAAATTAGTATCCACGAAGCTATCATAATAGGCCTACACTGGCCCACAGATATACAGTATTCTGTAATGGAGGCACTGTATTTCAGAAGGCATGCCGTACCCTTATCAGGTGATGGAATTATTAATCCATGATTAGACTTACCATGATGGAAGAATTACTGTAGTTTGCTACGCTTAATCTTGAATCTTTGAACATTCCAGAGTTAACTGTGTGGGATCGTCGCATGAATAAATGGAATAAAGTACACTTGACACCTAATTTATTAGTAGAGGCCTACTTGATCAAAATTGTAATTTTATTTGCTTGTATGTTCAATATTTCTTACTCTATGCAATACCATAGAGAAAGTGCATACAAGGCCAGCGTGTCTTTGCAACGCTCACATTCACATCTCTCACACGACTCATGGAGAGGCTAGGCTTTGCTCTAAGTGTCGCCGAACAAAATATTAAACGCAAGTTCATAAATATTGAGGTTTCTACGTAATATTTTATTGCAAAAAAAAAAAGACAATATAATTAAGATTAGTACGCATATGCCATTTTCTTTGTAAACCAGGAGAGCATGTGAAAAAACCTGAAAAAAAAATTGGAGTCTCCCGGCCAAAACGGCCCACCGATTGGTAGCTGGCTACCACACTAGGCCTATGGAAGAAATATTAAGATAGGCCAAAGAGACAGTTGTTTTAGATAATAATTCATTCTATTCTATACACAATACATCATTAATTTAATTTCATTTACCCTCATATAAAGCCCTCCACTATAGTTAATGTAATATGTACACAGACGCCGCTCTACATACTGTAGCTTTGAAAAGTAGTCTTTATAAAGAGGTGGTCTTTAATTGGTGGGGTCTTCTATTATGGTTTGAAACAGGAGACCAACACATAGGTATAGGTAATCTTTTCCACTTCCATTTTAGTTATTTTGTCCATTATTTGAAGAAGGAGAACTATAAAATTAACAAAAGAACAAAATTACACCTATACATGTTTCTCCTGACGCAAATCCAATTATTGTCTATTATTCCATCACGACAATAGCAATTACTATCAACACTGCAGTACCCGCTGCTTACTTGGACTTGAATTCAACCCTGGCCATCAGGCGCAAGCTCGGTGGTCTAGAGGTTGATGCCAGGCTAGTGATCTGGAGATCGTGGGTTCGAGTCCCAACCGAGAACAACTTGCGATTTTTTTCGCAGTTGTTTGCAAATGTACCGAGTATTTGGTACATTTCCACGTCAGGTAGGGCAAAATTACACCTATACATGAACAAATTCTGGTTATAACTTACAGGTAAATGTACATACTGTATGACTATGTTTCCATAGGGGATTCTTTGTTTTGTTTTCTGATTTCTAGCGACATCAGCTGTTGACTATCAACCTTGTGCATAAATATAGCCACACATTATACATATATATTTAATTTTGTATAAACATAAATTTAAAAACAAACCTCCTTTTGCCAGTATAATTGAAGGAATATACGATGATGGATTATCCAAATGTGTTGAATTGCAAAAGAATGCACCAACTTTATGATTTCCAGGATCAAGTGACAAATGCTGACGCTCAGCAGAAACCTTATTTGCATAGTGTTCAGGAACTACGCCTTTAACTCCAGCGATCAAACCACCACCACTACCAGTATCAACTACTCTACCAAATGTTGTGTCGAGGTCTGAAGAAGTGTTTACATATCCTCTATAGCTACCAATCCAAGCTTGTTTTTCGGTTTCAGTCAGGGAACGAAGAGGATTTGGAGTGAAACATGTGTGATCTGGAATCTCATCACCTGATGAAATACAAATTATATAACATAAGTTAAGAATATACCAAGTATTGACAAATGATGAAAGCGGAAGCTCTATTTTTGAATTGAACAGAGGAAATTATTTCAAAACATTACAAAAACATTTAAAGCCCCATTCCTGGTAAAATTTCAGTTGTTAAGAAAAATCTAATTTTTGTATAATGTTATAAAAATGTATAAATATAATACGGAATTGCTAGTTTAACTGAATGTAGACATTCCTAAGCATAAAAAAAATGTAAAATAAGACAGAAATTTGACTTTTTATGTTCCACACAAAATATAAATGCGGATCAATTTTTCATGTTTGATTTTGCGACAGGTCTGCGAAGAAATATAGTAGGCACCGAAAGCATTAGCCTATCCAACACTGCTAGCCTGCTAGGCCTAGCCTTACTTCGATTTAGGTTCTGTTTTAACACATTAAAAAATGGCCAGCATAATATATTGACACATAATACTGTATTTCATAGGAATTATTTCAAATTTGTTAAAAAACTGATTCTGACCGAGATTTTGACACTTAAAACAATCATATCTCAGGCCTACTTGAACGACCGCATTGTGTGAGATGCGGAGTAGAAACACTAATCCCATTAGAGAGGGCGTACTTTATTGACTGTAAAGTATACAAAAAAGCGAGAGTATATTCCAGCGGATGCGATCTACAACCTCTGAAATTCCTAGTAACGAAGAATTCGTGAGAAAATATAATATTCTATGAGAAATTGTCTGTATTTCTCTTTTTTTTTTATTCTTTTGCATAAAACTAAAATTTATACCAATATTTTTTCATGATTTATAATAATTAGAGTAATGCATATGCATCTTCTCTAAAAAAAATATGTTTTTAATGAAATTTTGCCAGGAATGGGGCTTAAGTTTTTTTGTTCAATAAAAGTAAATCCTTGTGGGCTGGAGCTTATCCCCAGTTTAAAGTACTGTAGTGTGAAGCAAGGGTGCAGCCACAGGGGATCAAAAGGGTCCTGAAACACCCCTGTCTCCCCCCCCCCCCCAAT